TTATTTTTTAGGTGCAATATTTTACTCAGATGAGGCCCATTCACGTGAGTATTCCTTAGTACAAATGGAAAAACTGATTATAGTCTCATCGTGTCAACAATTTAAACTTTTAACACTATGTAGAGCATTACTTATCTTTTAAAATGGTTGAAAATGCCATTTAAATTGTCATTATAATTTTATCGAACATTAATATTTCATCGAGTTTATTAAATACTGTTATTTCTATTTAATTATCTGTATAGTATAATTAAGAAAACGAACATGTTACTTATCTTGACGAAAATAAAAAAATATATTACACAAGTACTTAATTAACATTTTCTCTCTCCAATTAGAGGGTAAGGGGAAAGGTTAACAGAACAAATATTAAAATATCCACATATTTATAGAGTAATACTTAAGAACAATTAAAGTAAATTTAAATTAATAATTTTTCATTTCCATACATTCTTTCTTGTTTCCCTTCACTTTTTTGGTAATCGAAGAGGAAAAAAAAGGTAGATATGTTATACATGTCCTTTCAATTGAATAAATCTTCCATATCTCAAGATTGGCCATTTTGAAGTAAAAATTTTAAATTCTTTGAAATTTGTATTACAATTCAATAGAGTTCGATTAGCAAGTGAGTCCTAAAAAATTTACATAAATAAGTATAATATTCAAGGTTACTTACTCAAATATCTAAGTCCGAATTTAAAGTTAAGTCTATGATAATTTCTCACAATTTCATTTCATACAATGAAGTTGCATCTCACAATCGAAGTGATTAAATGGTCTTCAAGCCGTTTATTTCGTAGGACGTTTTGTCCTTATTCAACAACTTAACAAATTTGGTATATAGTTATATTGCCAAATATCTAATATGATCTCAGAATGACCTAATTCATTTGAATAACTCAATGATTTTTTATTTGTAAAAGAGATAAAAAAAAAAAAAATTAAATGATTTGGAGGAAAGGTTTCCGTAATTTTAAGACCATAGGGATGTATATGATAAGTAAACTCAATGCTGTTCTTCACTTGAAAGTTCTTAGTTTTATTCTTGAATTTCTAGATGTTTGTTTGTGAAGGTTAAAGATAATATCAATGTTTTGAAAAAATAAATTAAATCTCAAATAAACTTGACCATTACTAAGTTTTCAATTATTTTCAATATTGGCAACCCTAGCAAATTGTATCGATTTCTTGTCAAATTAAAGCTCAAAAACAAAATAATATGAGTGAATAACTTGTTGAAACATTCAACTTATATGTGCATTTAATTTAAAAATTAAAATAAAATTCCAATGAAAAAACAACAATAATAAATTAAGCCTCAAACATCATTAAAATTATTGAAAAGTCCAAAGTTGTTTCTTATAAAAGCTCTTATCAAGCATGTTCTTGTTGCCAAAACAATATGAGAGAATAACTGTTGAAACATTCAACTTATATGTGCATTTCATTTATAAATTAAACTTAATCTGAATAGTTCACTGTTGTAATATAAAATTTCAGTGAAACAACAACAATAATAAATTAAGCCTCAAACATCAATATAATAATTGAAAAGTCCGAAATTGTTTCTAATAAAAGCTCTTACCAAGCATGTTCCTGTTGTCCATATCAAACAACCAAATGAGCATGTTGTCCAAATTCAATGTCGATCGGTCTATCCGAAGTAATTCTTATAGAAGATAATCTCATGGTTTTAAATAGAAAATACAATTGCCACAGTGTCATTAAATTAGAAATCTCCATCATAACAAAATCGACCTTTAAAATCGAATACACGGACTTTCAGACATTAACCAATCATATAAAAAACTTAGATATAGCGGTGTGAAAATAGACTAGAGGATATAGGTCGTAGGTTACCCAGCCTTTTAAGAACTTGAACAAAAATGGTAGTGAAATGCTTGAATCTCTCGACTATGCTTCGTGACTTTAACTTTCAACAATAACGGTTCAACATCATTCTTGATTAAATAGACAATTTACTTGTAAATACATGAGTAAGATTCAAATAAGTAAACTTTTAGCTACAAAATTAAAAATGTGTTACTTTATTTATCACTTATTTTTAAATACTAACATGCTTGACTTAAGATTTGTTTTGGAGAATTTTTGCTTCGAAGAGTTTTACAAAGAAGTCACTTTTAAAAACTCTTTTAATTAAACAAAATATTTGAAAAAAAATTATTCAAACAAACTTAACTAACTTTCAATCTCAAAATTAATTTTTGGCTTTTTAAAAATTATGCAAATCGATCCCTTGTGCTCGACTCGGCCGAAACAGATTTGCTTACTATAAAAGTTAATAATATATTTTTAAATACTTGGACACACATAACACGCGCTTTGGTTGTCTTGAGCCGGTCAATTGACGCGTATAGAGACCTCGCCGAAGTCTCCCAAGGACAAAAATTATCAAAAGGACCAAAATACCCATGTTTAACTTTCATTAATCAGATTATTCCATGGACATTATAGTCCAAACATTTCAACGTTTCAAAACTTTATAAATGAAATTATAAATTGTGTAGAAAACAAGAGAAACGACTCCCTTGTAATCTTCAAAAACTGCCATCCATTCACCAGAAAGAGGCTTCCAATCAAAAGAACACAGCTTTTTCTGGTCTTTTTTTATTTCTGTCCGTCTGTCAGTCTGTTGCATTACATTATATTAATTCTTTTCAATATTCCTTTCAAATTTAATCTATTTTAACTTCTTTTGCCAATTTTAAGAGGATTGTCATAAATACTTGAAGTTGGAGATCTCGGCACTTGGGGTTTTGTTGGAATCTTTTTGAGTAGCATTTTTGTGGGATTTTGAAATCAAGGGGTGGGGTGTTGAGGAAGATATGTCGAGTGTTTCAAGAATATGGGAGAAAGTGTGTGTGATGGCAGAAGGGGGATCTCATTATTGTTCCAAGAAGACCGATGATAATTGTGATGAGGTGAGCATTTATCATTTTTTTTTCTTTTTATTTCCTCTTTCTTGAATTTAAATGTGTGGATTTGTTCAATTTTTTGGTTTTTGTTTCTAGTAAATCTTGTTGAGTTCATGATTGGTAATTTGGGATTCTTGGGTATGTTCTGAGCAATTCAATGATTTTTTCTGTTTCTG